GGGATCCGATTAGCGATTTGTCCTTTCCAAACGATTGGAATGAAGCAATCAACTGTGATGGGTAGAATTCCAGACGGTGTTGCTCTTCGAGTGGAGATGGCTGAAAGGCTGATTAGATATCCGCTCAATCTAACAAAGCGTTCCAATCCTCCGGAGTCGTCCTGCCAGTTGGGGACTAATGTGAGAGGAGAAGGACTCTGACTTGTACATTGGTGGGCTCCCACATAACATTGTATAAACTGTCAGCTCGAATCAAATGGGAGTTGAACGCGAGGGTGGGAATCGGGGAGCACCTTAGGGAATGTACAAAATCAATGAGAACAGTAAATCATTTCATTGAAAGGGTTACTAGGCATGAGCCAATTCATCTGCCTTTTCCCAGTCGCAGAATTGACATATTCCTACCGTTTTGTTTGTCATTGTTTACTCTAATAATGGATATTCAGATACTACTCCCCGTGGAAAAAGATCGAGCTCAGTCAGTGATGAACAAGGAGGAGGTATGTCAGAAGCCACTTTATTGACATAGAAACGTAGCGATGGTCTCAAATGGGGCAGAACCCAGGGCTCGTAATTTTTTTGGGTCCAATTGACTCAGTATCGGTGGTCTTCCTGGGAACTTAATAAGGTTGAAAGCTTGAAGACTGTCTCTGCAATCATCCGACCCACAAGTTAAGCCTAAATAAGGGCACGTTCTCTGGATCTGTAAGCTATCAGATAATTCGGGACTTGCAAATTGAAGGGTCGGCTTTGACATGATTGTGTTTTTGTCGGGCTAAGCTTGTTTTGACACTCCTCTGTCAGCTATTTCTCACACACACTCACACACTTGGAAATCCCAAGTTGTCCGGAGACGTCTCGAGAGAAAATAATGAATAGCCACGAATTTGTACAGCATCGTTGAACTTCTGCATAACAAAACTGGAGTGAGGAAATGAAAGAGAGCGAAAAATGCAATTAGTATCAGAATCAAATGTCGGCAGTTGTTAAAACCACACAAGGTAGGCGATTCTGAGTAAAAAGCGAAGTGTTAATAGAGACTGGTGCATCGGTGACAAAGAAAAAGCGCAGATCTCGAGGAATTCATGAAGTAAAAGGCTTTCAGTGAATAGTGGGAACATAGGGATTTTATGAAATCACCATGACGGAACTGGAATGGTAGAAGTATTCGGACGAGATTCCGTGAGAGGTGCAGTGTCTATAATGACGGTAAAACACATTCCCTCTTTGGGTGTGGATGTCGACGAAGCTGGTCTTTAGGCTAGTATTGCGCTCTATCTAGGCCGTTTCTTGAACGGACGACTTTCCACACGGCATAAGTGGGCCACAATTTCATCTAGTTGGGCCTGACTTTGGGATGAACTTCATATAGTGAAGTATGACTTCGAGTAAGACACGCATTCTACATTTCTGTTCAGAATTAATGAAGTAGTTTAAAGGATACATTGAGACTAACAAAAATTTTACCAACTTTGTGTCCTACCCACTGTTAGAAAAGGAAGTCCATAAAAAGGATTTGTTCCCATGTTGTTATCATACGGAAGAAATTCAGTGGAGTAAGCCACTTCAGCAGAGGTACTAGTCTCAGCAGAAGTGACTGACAAACTAAACTATGAACTAATGGCTGCAAGTATAGACGACCCTGCAACCCTTTGACAAAATGGTTACTCCTACATTCCCGATACTAATAGTGCACTAAGTATTCGTATGTTGGACATGTTACTACAGTCAAAAATCGCGAAGTATAAATGAGCACAGTATTTTTCAGGTGAAAAAATGGGCCCCGATCTGTTTCTTCATTGCCGCCGTTTTCGTTATATATTTATTGATTAGCAGTTTTTCTATACGATTTCGGGATCAGGTCAGTAAAGTGCATCTTCATCGCTTCATGATAATATAGAATTTTTTCTCTAATTTTCTAACTTCCAAATACTCTCTATCCCTTCTTTCAGCAATTAATCTTTATAAAAACTTCAGAACATGAGAATCGGGGTGTTTCTGCAACATGTCATGCGTGCACTTGCATCAGCATTAGCACAAGAGATCTAAATGTAACCTTCCCAATAGTGGTGTAAAAGGGGCGGGTTCCTCACCTAATTAATCTACTACACATGAGGATCAAAGATAGAGAGGAAACCAATTCGAAATTGTTTGTCAAGTGTTTTTTGTGAAATTCTTTGTATATTCCAGATAATTTTATTATCCCTTATTATTATAAAATTTTGGCCGAGGTGAAGTAGTGGCAAGTGGCGCACTATCATACACGCGTGGTCACGGGTTCGAATCTTGAATCGATATCAGCCCAGGCCAGCTAAGCCTTTCATCCCTTCGGGGTCCGTTAATTGCTACCAGACTCGTGTGGGAGGATAAAAGCACTGACTTGAACATCGGCTGGCCACCGCAAGTCATTGTGTAGGCCACATACACATTCAATACGCCACTATGATCGAGTGTGATGCGCATCCCTCAGACCGCATTGATCAAGGCTCATAAAACTCTTCATCTCCGAAAACCTATTTGAAAACTCTCCTCTCTGAAAAATTTACCCTTTTTACCCTTTAAAAGTAATCAAATAAATGTTCAGCTATTATTTCTGTATAGGAAGAAATGAGCAAGTTTTTCAGAGCAGCGGATTCGGCCTAGTCCTTTTATCTCTGGTAACATCAATGATTTTTCCAGCATTCATATGGATTCTACATCTTCCACTTGTTGTGTTTGTAAGCAGGGTGAGTTGCAGAAGGTCGAAGTGAGCCCAGTTCGTTAAGTCCAGAAAGTAGAGAGCTAAGAGATTTATTTCAGGAACGAATTCACTTGCGTATGTACGATCATTCATCCCTTTATACGGGGTTGTGCATAGCTACAGGTGAGTCGAGGTCAAATAGTCAATTCGGAAAACTTTAGTTCTCAACAACATTCTTATATTTTATTTTTTTTTGTTTTTTTAAATCACTGCACCCTTAAGTGCACCATGCAGTAACGAAAAATTCGAAAAATAAAAACCTGGTTCTTCATCAAGACAAATTAGGGAAATTGATAAAATTGAACTAACAAAGGGAAGGTTGATGAACTCGCACAGTTTGGAATTTTCCAAATCGAACACTTTTATAGAAAAATAAATAATATAGAAACTTAAGAACATGAGAGTTACGGTGTTTTTTTTTCTGTACGCAATTGCAAATAATCTCATAATGGCACAAAAATGCCCTTTCGCGTTTTTTCAATTGTAGTTTTCAACTCGGTTCAGATGCAGAAAATAGTGTGGTGGCAAGTAGCTAACTATCACCCACGCATGGTTCGTGGTTCAAATCCCGATCCCCCAGACCAACTAGTCTGCAATCACAAGTCGTTGTATAGGCCATCTACACAAACAGACACTACTCGTCAGTTTTTCAGGATGATACCCTGGAAATCTCAAAAATAATGGGAAAATTGTCTTGTTCACCAGGGTTAACTTGCTTTCCAGACTTAGCCAGAGCCTTCCTTACTTACATGCCGTTTGCCATGAAAGGCAAACTCGTTGTGAATGAAGTTCTTTTCCATTCAAGAGTACCATCTTTCAAGCCAATTCTGGTAGTGTAATTATAGAATAGTAAAAAAAACTTCAGACTTGATAGTTCTCTCGAATTGCTGTGTATGCTGTGATTTCATGGGAAATTGCGAATATCGCTTGGCTAGTATAGCACGCCGAGAAAGCAAGTCGTTCATTCCACCATCTCATCATAATTGAGAGAGGAGATCTTCCGTCAACGGTGACATCGCGAGCGATTTCATCGCGTTCGTGGTGTAATGGTTAGCATGGATGCCTTCCAAGCATTCGACGGGGGTTCGATTCCCCCCGAACGCATTCCTTTTGCAGTTCTCTGAAAGAACCTATTGGGAACGAGAAGAATATTAGGCAAAGATTCGGTGTCAATCAATCCCGTTTTTTTTCTATCAGGTGTACTCATGCCATTAGCTTTGATGCAGAATCGAATCGAAATCGCACCTTGAACGCGAATTGAGCTTATACAAAGGCTTGCGGGACCTAGCCAAAGTGCGAGCCCGTGTTCTCACTCCCACAGACGATTCCGTTTTCAGTTTGGCGACATCTAGAAATAGCGTGTTTGACTGGCCTAAGCGGATATGGAGGGGACTGCATATGTGGCTATTTCCAATACAAACTTTCTCTCCGATCAGTAATAGACACCCTGAACGCTTGTCGAGCCCCAATGGGTAATCGAGAGCACATGCGAGCCGTTTTCAAAGCCACAGTCCACATTTCAAAGCTAAAGCGGAGGTGAAGGGGAAGAATAGTGCAGAGATGGCGAAGAAAGCGAGAAGATTCTCAAAAATAGTGCTTTTGAGTAGTGTATAGGGGCTGTAAAGCATTGGCGGAATGGTTATTGAAGGGGACCTCTATACGAGATTTCAGTACGTGCACAATTCCGTAAAAGGCTATTTACATTAAACCAAAAATGCCCAAAATACCCTTCCAGCGTACCTATGGGTCGCAACTAGTTTGAATTCCAACATTTATGCTCCACTGTGTGTGACGCAGCCGCTCAACGCTATTAAAACACGTCCTTCTTTGCGTGTGGACGTGGGCAAAGTCGGTCTTTGGGCCCTTATTACTCCCTAACTTTCTCGACCAAAAAGCGCCTCATAGGCATACTTGGGGCGATAGTTCTAACTGGAAAACTTGAAAACCGTTCCTATCGAGTAGTGTGCCTTCAGATCGTAGTGTTGCTTAGAACATCACGACAATCGTTTCATTCTCCAATCTCAGCACCGATCCTTAATGTGTTTGATAAAATCGAGGGTGCCAAAATTGATTTTCGACGGCCAAGTCATCTTTGATCATCATCTTTCCCGCTTTCTTCATTTTCTTAAAATCCTACGAATAATAAAATGTGAAAATGTAAAATGAAAAAAAAGAGCGTAATGTACTGTAACGAAAACATACATACTGCGCCCTACTGATTGGTTGATTTTTCAGTTGTGCAATTTTTCGTATTACCACGTCATCGACGAATATTTCTAATACTTTCACTATTATGGGTGGTAATAAATATGTGTGTTCTGTTGATAATCAATATGGATGCGATCTCTGCAGACCATACATTTATCTGTTCAGTAAGTTGAACTCTTCAAACAAACCAATAGAATGCCTTTTTTCTTTGAAGAATTATGCCAATATCTGTAGACAGACTGCTGGCAATCTGCCGTCAAACAGTTCCTCATTGCAGTTAATTTCGTTCCTTCTACAACAGTTGATGATCAGTTGCGTAGGAATCGTGTCTGATTCGAATGAGGCAGGGAATCGAGCTGATATTGCCATGAAACTCACCGAAGCTGTTTATAGGAGAACTGAGCTGGAAACGTTGAAAGATCGGCAGGTACGGTAGTGTATGGCTACGTGTGAGCCTATTGAAGAGCTAAACATAGGCGCTTCCAAGAGGCCCAGTTCGACCTGTTGTGAAAGTGGGCATAAATGGGAGGCAATGACCTCATCGAGGGAAGCATTAGAAACATTTTGTATCAGCGCGAAGTCCCCCGACCGACCCCCGAAATGAATGAGGAAAACGAGTGCTCCTCCATCACAGATGAACTTGTTCTTCCCTTCCTCGATCTCCCTTAGCCCCAACTGGTTCCGCCTGGTTCCGCCTTCGAGTCCGGGGGTCGGATCTGGGGAACACTAAGTGCTTAAGGTTTGAACAGGGACTTTGATTGGAGGTACACGGGTCTTGTGCCGCACAAATAGGTTACCCTCTAATTAGTGAGATCGGTCTGGCCTGAGTTTTTGATGAGTGGTGTTCTTCAAAATTTACGACTGTATACCAGAAAGATGTGGGCGTTTTTTGACTACAAATAAATAAATAAATAATTCAGTAA